ATATGTGGGCCTCTCACTGTCGTGGCCTCTCCCGTTGCCGGATGCGCAAGCTCAGCGCCCATGGCTCACGGGCCCAGCCGCTCCGCGGCATGCAGGATCCTCCCGGACCGGGGCACGAACCCGTATCCCCTGCATCGGCAGGCGGACTCCCAACCACTGCGCCACCAGGGAGGCCCAAGCTTCACTTTTTAAATGCTTTGAGCCAATTATCAGCTAATTACTAATACTGAACCTTTTCACTAAAATCTTTGAATAAAAAAGATACTTCTGATTCCCTGGCAGAACCCACACAACCTCAAGGGTAAGGTGTCTCAGTTTGAGAAGCAGCAGGTCACAAGAGAGGGAGGGTGGTAGCCCTCCAGCCATCATATATCCATTTTACCTTGGTCTTTAATCGAGATCAACCACCTAACTCAGAACAGCTCCCCTGGACCGTACAGGAGTCTTGCAAAGAGTGCAGCCATCCATTTTGGTACCTCTAGTGCTTTCTAAAAGGGCAGACGCCTGAGTTCCAGCTCCACACAGCCCCACCTCCAGCCACTCACCCGGATCCGACGCATGGCAGCCACAATCTCCACTCTGCTGTTGGGCCTCGGCACGTCCAGGCTTCCGACATACTGTGGGGAAAGAAGCAAACGCTCACTGAGAAGAGGGATGGCAAATGTCCCTAATGACAGAATGTTAGGGCTGGAAGGACCTTTGGAAGTCATCAAGTTCATCTTCCTATTTTACAAATGAGGAAATTAAGAGCCAAAAGGATGTCTTGAGACTATTTCTAACTTTATAAAAAGCAAAACAAGAAACTACTTCCTTTTCATCTCGTTCTTAATCAGAAATGCAGCCAAGGACTGTGTTTAAACAAGCAGCCTTCTGAAACACAAAGAGTTGGGTATGAACAATCTCCCACCACTATCTTTGGGGCAGGCTACTTTGCCTTTGTCTCAATTTCCTCATCTGTAAAATGGGATTTCAGTAAAGATAAAATGAGCTAAGGTATAAATCTCTTACACAAATCTGGTCTGCGTGCATTAAAGCCTTCCAAAAGAATAAGAAAGATGAATATCTACTTTTTTTAATTAATGGAACTTCATTGAGTTAGCCCTGGATGTTATAGAGACCTCACACATTTGAGTAATTTCCTAAATGGACAAAAAGAATGGACTAGTTACGTATTACAAAATTTAACTTGATTAAACTTTTAAGTTAATTTTAAAACCAAACGACATACAGGTTGTCTAATATAATTTCTTGCTGTACACTATTCAAATAATGCAGATATATGCAGAGCAAAAGAATAAAGTCCCCCACTGTCAACAGTCTGATGTACATCTCTTTTTGTATATTAATGGACATATATATATATATTCATAGACACCCAGAGGAATTTCTTTTATGTAAAAAAGATTCATACTACTCACGTTGATTTTTTAACTTTAAATATAACTTGGACATCTTTCTCCACCAATGCATACAGGTCTATCACATTACATGGGATGGCTCCCCTGATGACTGATGGACGCTTACCCTAGGGCACTATGACAAAATTGCTTCCACAAACCTCCTTATCTACACACCTTTGAGCTCATCCAAGTAGCCCTTTAGGCTGGATTCCTACAAGTGGGATTGCTGGACCAAAATTATAGATTATTTCTAGATATCATTACTTAGCAGGATGAAACTAGAAAAGAGGACAACCCAACATTCATTAAGCACCATCCCATTCCACACTGACCCACTGGAATTTATCTTTCCTTTTTACACACACATATAAAATAGCCCAGAGGATATCCTAGAAATTAACAGCTCCAGGATAATTTAAAAGTCTACGCAACCAAAGACTGCATTAATAGAAGATAAGAGCAGGACAGTCATTTCTACAGAAAACATATTTCCTGTGGTTGTGGGAATAAAAGGTTCTTCCTAAAATTTGGAGTTAAGGCTGGCCCCAGTGAGGAGGGTTTCAAAAACTAAATACTGGGAAAGGATTTCCCCTAGTACTGATCCCCGGTTTGTGCTAACACACTAAAGATCAAGATTCCCAGAAGCCTGTAGGAAGTCTGGGCCCCAGATGGACAGCCTGACCACAGCAGGTAAACAAAGCCCCCTGGATCTAAGGATCTAAGCATGCTGTCAGCTTTAACCATGGCTGGCGTTTCTGCCCTCTGAGCTCTGCTGGGCCCCCACCGTTTGTCAGCATGTCAGTGACCCACATAGCCAGGAATGACGTAAGGCCAGGTTTGTGACTACCCAACTTCAAAGCACCACCCCCCCGCCGGGGGCAGTTTCTGTGCCCCCTCTCCTGAGCGCTGCATGCCTGATGGCTCCTGCCCTGAACTCTGAGCAGTCAGGGCTGACTTGGCAACCAGACCTTCAGGGCTTGTGTTCTCTCTGGCATCACATGAGAGCCTGGATCTCAAGACCGAGCAAGGTCACCCATTACAGGTAAACCTGAAGGACTAAACGGTCCTCCCACACTGATCCCTGCAAAACCCCAGGAAAGGGCCTGCTACCCAGTGAGGTCCACAACTGGGCCTGAATGCAGATGCCCAGATGAGTTCCATCCCCATCCCTTCTCAAGAAGGGGCAACGCTGGACTGAGAATCCCAAAGCATTCGGGTTACAGTGAGGATGGAAGCAACACAGACAGAATGGAGAGGCAGCTTTCTAGCTCTGGACAAGGTTTCCTAACAAGGGAGTAGCATCCTGCATATGAGGTGAGGACACCCAACATCTTCATGCTATTAGTGCCTCCTTCACGCCATCAGCCAACCTGGTACATGTGCACACATACACCACACACCTTCACACACACACATCAGTGCACACATGTTCACACACCTCATGTGCCACGTGCATACACATGACTGATCATCTCTCACACACACACACTCCCCACACACAAAGCATGCACACGGTCATCCCACACTCACTAACACATCCCACTTGTATTCACACCACACACTCACTCATCCTCCTTCCCAATCATGTGAAGAAAATCACCAATCTGCCTTTCTGAGGAGAGTCTGCAGCAGATAACCCATCCTTACCACAGCTGCACCTTACAGTTATTCAAGGAGATTAAAAGGAAACACGAAGTAGGGAGCAAAAGCCAAATATCCACACTAATCATGAACCAAAAAACAGCGACAATTTCAGGGAAGCAGGGGAGGGGTCAGAAATCCCACTCCTCAGGGCAAAACCAGAGAGTATGATAAGTGATTACTGCCATTATGTATGTGTATAACAAAAAAAAAACCTAAAAAAGTATCTCGATACCTAAACATTACCACCTCCACAACTAGCTTCAGTCCACTCTGAGGCTCCATTTTGGGCACAGTGTAAGACACAGTCATAGACCAGACCCACATGAAAGGTGGTTCATACAACCACTCAAGTTTAAAAATATCAGGGCCTGCTTCCTTTTCATTACCACCTAGAAAGAAAAAAAAAAACAAACAAACTAGAAGGAAGATGCAAATTGTACTAAGTAACCAACATATGAGATTTATCCAAGTCAGTTTTTTTTTTTTTTTTTTTGGTTGCGTTGGGTCTTCATTGCTGCACGTGGGCTTTCTCTAGCTGCAGCGAGCAGGGGCTACTCTTCGTTATGGTGCGTGGGCTTCTCATTGCGGTGGCTTCTCTTTGTTGAGGAGCATGGGCTCTAGGCACACGGGCTTCAGTAGTTGTGGCTCGTGGGCTCTAGAGCACAGGCTCGGTAGTTGTGGCGCATGGGCTTAGTTGCGCTCCGCGGCATGTGGGATCTTCCTGGACCTAGACTCGAACCCATGTCCCCCGCATTGGCAGGCAGATTCTTAATCACTGTGCCACCGGGGAAGCCCTATCCAAGTCAATTTTATCTGTGGCTTCCTCTTCCAATGGAAGAGGAAGGCACGTGAGTGCCTTCACATGCAGGATGCTACTCACAGAATAAGCAGGAGTTAAGGGCAAATAAGGTTAACCAACGGACCTCAGATATTCTTTGTTAAGTTCCCAGAAAACCTCACCCTTGGTGCTAGGTTAATACCTCATGAAGTTTTTTTTGTTGTTGGTTTGTTTTTTTGTGGGGTTTTTTTCCCCATTTTCTTGGTTCCACCCTATTTTCTGGAGATTAACTTCTGAAGACAGTGATAAACTCAACTGTAGTGTTTCCTGGTACATGAATCACACTAAAAGCAGCAAGACATAACAGCTTAACACAGTCACAAATATCATCGCCACCCATCGACTTGTTAGACTTTCTGCCCTCGCCCTTGTCAAGGAACTCCCTTTATTTACAAGGTTTCTGTCAAGTGTTTCCAGAGACCAGGAAAAAGCTTACATATGAATCAAAAATAAATGCATCAGATGACTCTGCTTGTGATAATGTTGGAGAAACTGGTATCCTCAGACTAGGCCTCCAACAAACTCTGGACAAGATACAAAGAAATAACTGCATAAAATGTACGAAGACTGAACTATGGATACATATAAACTACGGACATCAGTTAATTATAATTTATCAATATTGGCTCATCGATGGTAACAAATGCACCACACTAATGCAAGATGTTAATAATGGCAAACTGGGGGCAGGGGGGCCGGGTTGAGCGGGTATATGGGAACTCTGTCCTCACTACCCAATTTTTCTGTAACCGTAAAACCAGTCTAAAAGAATTAAGTCTGTTAATTGAAGTAATAAAAGTAACTTTGAAGGCACTGGAGAGAGACCAAAAACAGGCAGAGACTGGCAGGGAATCAACCCTTAAAAGGAGGGAACCACACTAGGTAAGACCTGGTTTGTGCAGTTTTGCCCAATAGCACAATCCCGCAAGTGCTGCCTTGGCTGCCTGGAGCTTAGGCCAAAAGACTCACTCAGACGGCCTGGGGAGTTGGTCACTAGAGCCTGAAAGTGAGCAGAAACTTCTGACAGAAAAGGAGCCCCTATCGTGCAGAAATCCCACTCAGGTCCTGGATGACCCCACCAACTGTACATGTGCAAAGGAGGCTCCAAAGAGTCCAGCAGAAGGTGGCAGCTGCTCACCTCAGCACAGGCAGATTTAGGATTTAAGACCAGCCACACTGACTGTCCTTAAGAACAAAATCTACACTCTTCAGAAGAAGATAGCAGAATCTTCTGTCATAGGCTATAAAAACCCCACTGACTGGCCAATGCAGGCAAGGCCATGGGGAAAGACCACAGTGCCACATTCTCCTGGGGTAAAAGGACAAGGCCCCTATAAATGGGCACAATGTAAAGGGCCCTGGATCTCTGCATTCCCATCTTACATCTCTCTGAAAACCACTCAGGGCTACAGCCTCAGCCCAGAGCACATCCATGCGAGGTTCAGGAGGATACCCGCCCTGTTACAGAGATTGACAATGAGGCCTAAAGCAGTTGGCAGGTGGCAGGGAAGGGGCTTGTCCTCCCCCCAGCTCCTGGGTCCCAGTCCAGGACCCTCCCCACTGCCTGCATTCTTATTAACTCTCTCCCTTCGGGTCCCAAACCTGGCCTGGTTTTTATTCCATCACCCTGCCTACCTTCTCATATCCTTCAGGTCTCTTGGCCACACTGAGTTCTCCCTCCAAAAATACACAGAAGCAGTAGAAAATCTGATACGCTGCTTGTATCTAGAAATCA